TTTATTTGTCGCGTTTCACATTGTATAAGTGACGCTGGGACCCCAAACAGTCAGGGTACGATGTATATCTAATGGTACCGGTGATGATGTATCGCGGTATCTATTATATACAGTTTACATCACCGTCGTTGCCCGCTGACGGAACCGACGAAAATGTAAACCGATATCTTAGTATCTTAGTACTAAGTAAACTATAGATTAATTTTTGTTCGAGGCTAAAATTTCAACATTTACAATATAACATTTACGGATATCATAAAAATGGGAGTGAGAGACATCTATAACTGAAATCGGCAATTACTTAGTTGCCAGCCCAATAGTAACTTGTCAGAAAGTTATTAATGTAATTTTACGACAGCGCATCAAACGTCTAGGGAACATGGGGATTCGAAACAGAACAAAGCTCGCGCAAGCACCCCTCGGAGCCGTCGAAATGAACAGAAATCTGAGAATCCGGTGACGAGATGTTTCCGTTGGTCGACTCAGTGTTGCAGGGCGCCGCAACGTAAAAAAGCTGGCAAACGTACGAAAGGTTTTTGGGGGAGTCTGAAGGAGAAGATGAAGAGGAGCAGCAAGAAAAAGAAGCCGACTTCTGAATCAGAATTACAGGAGCGAGCAAAAGCCGACCAAGTCAGTACTTCGACCGTGGAATATCCGGAATCGAGCGAGACCGTGTACGAAAGATCCAAGAAGCATAAGAGAACGAGCGATGCTGCCGATAGCGTAGACACTGCCCGTCCCGCAGATGCTCCGCAAGTACGTCTTGCACAAATTCCGCACGATGCACAAGCTGCAGAAGATGCAGATGCTGCGCGTGCTGCAGATCCGAGAGTGAAGGACATTCTGGAGAAAGGGTATCTCGATTTCACAAAAAGTTGTTGTTACATGTGTGCCAATGCGATGGTACTTGTTGGTGCGATGCCTGGCACAGCTGAGAAATTACACGTGTCGATCCAAGCTTCAGGTACCCTCACGGAGAAAGCTGATAAAAGCACCAGCCCGATGTCATACGTCAGAACGGTGCAATCCTCTGTCAGAGTGAAGGTGCGTAACATCGGTACCGACTACTCGAAAGTGAAGAAACCCTCGAGACCTAAGTTGACGTTGAAGGATTTCAAGGACGCGGTTTCGCAAAAATTGCCGAAAATACCGAAAATGCCGAAACTGATGAAGGCGAGAACGCCGAAGGAGCTGCGTGGAGAAAAAGCTTCAAAGAGACCACCGACGCGAACCGTTGCTTGTGGAACAAATACGTCGTCGAAACAAACTAATACCCCGCAATGCATGGCGGGCCGTGCGACTCAATGTGTCAGGGAAAAGAAGTAATATTTCTGTATATAATGAGTCGAAACATGATATGGGTTAAATTAATTTAATACGATACTCGTGTAGTACTGTTTAATTAGATTTCACGTGAATTCGCGCTTTTTAAAAAAGTTACATGGAATTTTCGAGAGTAATTTCATCTCCTTAACACTTCGACCGTCGCGTCGCCCACATATGAGGGACAGAATTATTTGTCCAACTTCTTTCATCTTCCTAATTCAGATTATACAACGAAAATTTTCAATTTTAATTTGATTGAAAAAAATACTTTCATTTTATTAAGCTTTTGAAATCGTTAGCGCGGTAATCATAGTGTTTATGTGAATTAGATTGCTTGGCACGAGTGCTGAGTGTGTTTTTTTTTTATTTCTGTACAAAGATTTATAAGAAATCAGAATTTTTTGTTGACATTATTCTTTGCTTTCCGTTTTAATTCAGTTTAATTACATTCAATCATATTGTGTTTTCAATAAGAGAGAGTGCGGATGGAAATTTTGTAACGAACATCTCACAGTAAAACTATCTCGTTTAAAATAAGATTAATAATCGGAGTATCGAGAGAGAGAATTCGACATAATTAAATGATGCACGCTAATCCGTTTAATTAATTTCGAATTCATTACTATAACTCTATCGCTGATGAAATAAAGAAGACATGAGTTACATCAAACTGCTATTATCAGGAATCATTTTTGAAATATTGTTTCGATAGAAACAACCGAAATGTTTTTGTAAATTAGCATGATCCACAGTTTTTATATTCGAAGGCTTATTATTGCTCGATTATGTCCATCGGTATATATTACAAACAATTTCAATATCGATACATCGCGCCGACAAAATGAATACTATACATTCAAATAAACAATAAGTATACAATCGACAATCGTAAATTAAATTCCATCGTCCTATCAAAAACATGTTATCGTAATCGTAAAATGTTTACGAGTGCCAATCGAATAAATACGAATCTACAGATCTGAATTTATTTTCATCCAATATCTATATACGATAAGATACATATTTGTGAATTCTATTGGGTTGGCAACTAAGTAATTGCCCATTTGTTCAATGAAATAAAAATTTTTTTTACTTGGAATGAAGTTTAATCTGTAATGTATTTTCCATTTTGTTCGATGACCTTTTGCCATCTCTCTGACAACTTGAAAATTCTACGCTCGTAGAAAGTCTGATCCTTTTCGGCCAAAAACTGAGTTAAGTGAGATTTTACAGCGTCATCATCGTTAAAAGTTTTACCACGAAGGGAGTTGTCCAGGGATCGAAATAAGTGGTAATCCGATGGCGCGAGATCAGGGCTATATGGTGAGTGTAACATCAATTCCCAAGCAATATCCATCAATTTTTGCCGAGTGGACAAAGACGTGTGCGGCCTAGCATTGTCCTGCTGGAAAATGACACCTTTACGATTGACCAATTCTGGTCGCTTTTCCTTGACCGCTGCATTCAATTTGTCCAGTTGCTAACATTCACGGATAATAAAAAATAACATAATAATAATAATAATAATAATAATAATAATAATTTTACAATATAACATTTACGGATATCATAAAAATGGGAGTGAGAGACATCTGTAACTGAAATCGGCAATTACTTAGTTGCCAATTCAATATAATAAAATGCTATAATATAGCATTATATATAATAATAAAATGCTATAATATAGCATTATATATAATAATAAAATGCTATAATATAGCATTATATATAATAATAAAATGCTATAATATAGCATTATATATAATAATAAAATGCTATAATATAGCATTATATATAATAATAAAATGCTATAATATAGCATTATATATAATAATAAAATGCTATAATATAGCATTATATATAATAATAAAATGCTATAATATAGCATTATATATAATAATAAAATGCTATAATATAGCATTATATATAATAATAAAATGCTATAATATAGCATTATATAATAAAATGCTATAATATATCTATAACTGAAATCGGCAATTACTTAGTTGCCAACTCAATATAATAAAATGCTATAATATAGCATTATATATAATAATAAAATGCTATAATATATCTATAACTGAAATCGGCAATTACTTAGTTGCCAACTCAATATAATAAAATGCTATAATATAGCATTATATATAATAATAAAATGCTATAATATATCTATAACTGAAATCGGCAATTACTTAGTTGCCAACTCAATATAATAAAATGCTATAATATAGCATTATATATAATAATAAAATGCTATAATATATCTATAACTGAAATCGGCAATTACTTAGTTGCCAACTCAATATAATAAAATGCTATAATATAGCATTATATATAATAATAAAATGCTATAATATATCTATAACTGAAATCGGCAATTACTTAGTTGCCAACTCAATATAATAAAATGCTATAATATAGCATTATATATAATAATAAAATGCTATAATATATCTATAACTGAAATCGGCAATTACTTAGTTGCCAACCCAATAAAATAAAATACTATAATATAGCATTATATATAATAATAAAATGCTATAATATAGCATTATGTATAATAATAAAATGCTGTAATATATCTATAACTGAAATCGGCAATTACTTAGTTGCCAACCCAATGTATAATACAAATAATTTCGCATTAATAAAGGATTACGATCGTGAAATCTTTATCGGCAGCTTCAGACTGCTCATTTGCCGCGTATTCAACATTCAACAAATGGATTCACGGAAGCAATAGCAATTAATTTACGGTTATCGTCGCTGTTGTTTATATACATACCTATAATGTCCATACTGTATAATACGTGTACCTCATACGTTTCTGGTAACTTAGTATTCACATTTCACGTAGACATTCGTCAAATTGAAACGATTAAATTAGGGTCGGTTCAGTCTGTTTCAATGAAAACAATTATTTTCCACGGTACAGTCACATTTCGAATACACTTTTTAACGTCACGCGATTCACGGTCGGCTAAGTAGTCTAAATTGATATTCGTTCAGGCCGTATCCGGCGACGATACCGCAGGCCGTGACGGTATCGTTGCCACGCTCGCGTTGGCGTCATCCGATGTTGGGTTCCCAAACACGAGGGGCGACGTGTAATATGGCAAGAGGGGATACTGCGTGGGTGGAAAATACGGGGGAGGGAAGAGCCCTTGTCTCTGAGCGATTTTCAACCGAGAGGTAAGCTGCTTCTTCCACTTGGTTCGCCGGTTTTGGAACCATGTCTTGATCTGCACTTCCGTCAGATTTAGAGATTTCGACAGCTCCATTCTTTTGCTCACGCTCAAATATTTGTCGATCTGAAAGAAAAGATCGATTCGTCATTTTGCTTAAATACATCACGAAATTGAAAGAACAAGACTAACATTAGGTTGAAAAGTATGGATTAATTTTTGCATTTCTATCGCATTTCTGCAAATTAACTTGCTAGATAGTTTGAGGCTAAATTTACAATGTAGGAGAGGTTCAAGAAATGCTGTATTTGTAATTATTTTGTAATATAGCAGGAAAAATCAATGTGCAGGAGATTTGGTTGGAATCGTGATACATACCGGGGTACAATATGTTTCTCTCTATAATAAATAACAATTGATGTTAATTTAGACTACATTCTTCGATAACACTGAGAACAATGCATAGAATTGAAATATTGTTATTCTTTCATTTCTTTTGCCGCTAGTAATTTGTCAAATATTTTGCTGCAGTTCGAAATTCTCAAAAAGTATATTGCAATCTCATAATACAGACATTACTTGAAACGTTGCAACAGAAATAACTTACAATTCCTTCCACCCTTGAATTTATTATAGTTTCCATACTACGACTAGATTGTTACAGCTGGAAATCGTTTGATTCATCGTTACCATTATATATTTTATGGTAACGATGATTGCGAATTTTTAGACATACATATATATCACGCTCAACCGTGCAATTATTGAATTAACTTCCACCATAAAAAAATCTTCGGATTTGCGAAGAAAGTTTCCGCCTATCGTGTTCTATTTAAATAATCTCTAACAATGTAGATCGCATAAAAATCTTCCGTATACCTTAAACTCCGCCTCCAGCCTCTCCAATTGTTTCGCGCTGTAAGCTTGTCGTGGTTTTCGATCGATGCCGGGCTTCCTGGACCGTCTGCCGCTCGGTTTCGGCGCTGCATAAAATGGACACGTATGATTTCGATTGCGCACACATCGTACGCGAGATGAAGGAAAGAAACTTCGGAGACAAACGGACGAAATTCAGCGAAGTTAAATATTGCTAGAATAGCACCTCCGCGAGAATGACACTTCACGGGGAGAGAGACCTTCCCGAAGATTTACGGCGGCGCTAATTAAAATTTAACATTATAATCATGCCTCTTAATTGTTTAGCTAACTTCGTCAGCTTGTACTCAATTACCACTTTCTCCGGTACGGTCTACTCATTGGACCGCGTCTAGAGTTACCGAGCGTGTCTAAAACATGCGGGATTGTTTGAGGAACGTGTGACATCTTACAGTCAACATAACGCAGAATGTGGTAAAGAGTTGTACAAACAGTTTATACCGAGGAACGTTTGGCTGCGATTATCATTACGGTGCAAAGAAGTTCCACACATTTCCGTTCAAGGGGTTATATGAGGTATTATACCGTTGTTAGTCGCATTTAGATAACACGACACTGCGGTGCGCCTTGTACAAAAAAATTCGAGAAGAATTTCGTACTTGGAAACTGCTGGACGTTTTAAAGTTCTTTTCAATGGAAATAATAAATTGTCTGTTCTCGGTATCTATAAGTGGTCGCGTTACGTGTAAAGATTTAAATACAGTGATATATAGCATCCTCTCGATATTGAAAAATATTTATTATTAGGCAGCGGGTTTTATGCATTTGTGATGAAAATGACTAGGTGACATACCAAGCAACGAAGAGATTCCCTTTTTTGAAAAATTTGAAAATATTCTTTCAACTTCTTCGGTTCATAAAGATCATCGAAAGAAGAAATATGTTTTTATTGTTATCTTCTGTCCTTTACAATTAATTCAGAACATTTCTATTTGGTAGAAAGATGCACAGGCTAGTTACTATACTTTCGATAGTGAAGAGAAATATTGTTTCCTCGAGAACTGTGTGGAAATTCTACAAGCTGAGAAATAATTTAGCAAATGCTTCCATTATACCGTCACTAATCTGTAGAGTTTATAATTTCAAATGAAATGTTTCTTGTTGTCTTTTTTTTGAATAGTTAATTTTACATGCTCCATTATAGAATTCGAATGGACACTATGATTTCACGTGGAAATCGAAATTTTTATCTCTTTTGCACTTCAGGTTGACAAGTAAATTTGTATAAGTCCTGTGACGTTTTCCGGAAACCTTTCCAACATCTTCCAGAATGTGAGATTATTGTCGCATTTGTGCAGGAAATCTTTCAATGTTTCTCATTTTATTTCTACCATAAATACTTTTTCTATGTTTATAACACTATTATAATTACTTTCTTGCATGCAAAACGTCAAAATGAAAAATGCATTTCTATAAGAAACGAAAGCAATTAAAAGTTGACAACTTAGGTAATTAAAAGCGTCGATTGCGACACGATATTGAAATGTTTTTAATGAAATGTAAAATATTTAGCTGTGAAATAATTGGAATTAATTGTTCGCAAATTAATTTTAATGATTTTGATCAGGTTGTCGATGTTGCATAGAATAAGGAAATTTTTTAAGGATAACGATACAATATTTTGGTTGCATAAATTTAATCGGGACATGTTCACTATGCAACTCAGTCGTATTTTCTAGAGAATGAGAGACTACTGGTCAAAGAGAGAACTTTTCGATGAAGAAGAAAAACTGGCTGTACCAAGATTTACGAGTGTGCGGACACATTTAGCACATTTCTGGAAGATGGTTAGAGTAACGTCGTTGATAAATGGGCTCCTAACAGCATGGCGGATAGTAGCGAAAGAAGAGAAGCAACAATGGCGGATTGAAATCTCCGACAGAAATTATTCACGTTTCACGATTGTCGGTTTCCAAAACAAGTCAAATATTTCTTAATATACAATAAGTGTTCCAAAGTTTTGTTTTAAATTATAAATCACCAAGCATTTCGCAAAAACATGTGCGTAACACAATGTTTCACCGAATTACGATCTTGTTTCGTGTGATCGAATCAAATATTCATCATATTTTTCACTTGAAAAATTAGTATTCGTGTTAACAAGTACCGAGAAATAAGTTTTTAATAATTTCATTAAATATTCCACGCGTTTATTGTAATTTAATCCCAAGTACATCGTACTATTTCTTCTTGAGTTGAATATTTTAAATAAATGTTGAACTATCATTATTAGTATATACAATGGGTGTAGGAAGTATTCGTACACCTTTTAAAATAGAATAACTTTTTTATAATTGAGCCAAGCGGTCTTACTTTTTTTAGGATGATAATGGGATTATCATCAGTCTACTAGACAATAACTAAAAAATTATTTTCAAAAATTGCAATTTGTTAAAATGATCAATGAAAAAATGATGTTTTTTCAACTTTTTCATCTGAGCCTAGAACGAAAATGTGAAAAATGCATTTTGTAGACTTCGGTAAGTTATCTGTATGCTGAAAATTTCGTCAAGATCGATTGACCTTGACACGAACTGTAAGCAATTAAAGATCGTGAAAATTGCAGTTTTTCACGAATTTCTCTCAACCAAAAGCAAATCATTTTTACATCTTTCAGTGATTGTAGCTTGACTATGCGTCGATCGATTTTGATGAAATTTTCAGAATGCATACAAGTTACCGAGATCTATAAAATGCATTTTTTAAATTTTCGTTATAGCCTCAGACAAGAAAGTTGAAAAAACATCATTTCTTCAATCTTTTATCGTGCAAACAAATTGCAGTTTTTGTAAATAATTGTTTAGCCCTTGTCTATCAAACTAATCACTCCTAACATCCCCCCAAAAATGTAGGCCACTTGGCCCAATTATAATAATGTTATTACGTTTTAAAAGGTGCACGAATACTTTTTACACCCACTGTAAATATTAAGCAAGGATCACAATGTTCCAACACGACTAATATCTTAAAAAGAATTTCTGAAATTTTATTTACGATGATCGCATTTATACTTATTGATACAGAACAGGTGAAAAGGAGGAATATACGCTTTCTTGAAATTTTAAGAAAAATTGTGAATATTTTCACCGCGAAGATCCAAGTTGTGTCAAGAATGAAACTCCATTCATCGTTTATCAATCGCTTTGTATTTGAATTCATATAATTAAACGCATTCTAATGACTCGTGTTTTATAATTCTCTTGAAAGGCGAACGAGAAACTAATCTGAGATAATATCGCTGAGAATTCGAAATACATTGCATTGCTTTAAAAACGTTTAACCTCCGAACAACGAAATATTTTATATAGCAGCTAGCATATCGAAATTAAGGGGATACAACACCCCAGCTGTTAATGCGACGTTCGCGTGTCGAAAAGCTGTTACCGCAGACGCCTCGAGTAATGTCCAATATTCCCCGCAGCCGAGGAAGAATACGACGGTTTTGCTTTTCTCGGCATTGTTCGCGAAAATGGGATTACAACGATAAGTTATTGCGAGTAGATAATTAGAGTCTTTTGTCGTGGCAAAGCGAAAACACACGCCTACGGTGTTACTGCAAAACAACTGCGGAAAGTTTCCTATCATTTACCAAAATCGAAAACGCGAGCCGAGCGCATTTGACACAACGAAAAGTATATTTTGGCTATCACAAGAATTGATGAAATTTTGTTGGCATTGTCGCAACTTGTAGATTTTTATTTTATTTTCTTGTTACGTTTACGGGATTAGTATCAGGTATATCAACTAAACATTAAATTAAGGTCTACTTTTTTGTGAACAGAAGCTAATAATGCACGCGTCGAAAATGTTCACAAGATATCTTCGAGCTAGTCGACGGAATAATTGATGGAATTAATTGTTTCTATTGAAAGTGCAATTTTTGTATGGTTTTAAAATTCTTTGCAGTGCATTAACCAAGGGTTCGGTCGTTTACACGATTATTTAATGTTTGTTGTTCGTGATAATCATCAAGATAGATACCTTGCAGGCCAAATAATTGGCCGGGCTTCGTCTGGGCGAACCAACTATTGTACAAAAGGGACGCAGAAGCGAAAGATGTTGCTGAATATCCAGTCGGATCTGAAAACGTAACTTCTGAATATGATAAACCCGTTGGCGCGTATAGTCCCATATCTGTAACACAATGATTTCTGTTAAGAAGAACACTTCGCTACATAATTTTACTAGATAGATACCGTTTTCGAATAAAATATTACGAACACCATGATTACGTTCACAATTAATAGGAAAACTTCAATTTTTTCAATTCTTTACATGTAAAGAAAGATGTTTATTCTGACAACAGATAATGGATTTGTTGACGAAGTCATTGCATATTTCATGTGAAAATGAACAAAGCAGTACGAATAATACCTGAATGCGTAGCTGGTATCGCTGTTGGTTTAATAAATTGCCTTTCTTCAAGCTTCTCGTCCCTGTCGTCTTGCTCCTCGTCCTTGTCCTCGGAATGATTAAAACTGGATGACACTTCGGCATCCCTCTCATCATGCTTGCCGAGAATATTGTCAATCGTGAACGCACTGGACACTGCGATCGGAGACGAATTCTTCCGTTCAATTTGATTTCTTCGCGACTCCTTGTAACTTTCATTGCTGCAGTCGGACACGTACTCCATTGTGTCGTGACGATTATTAAAAACCTGCAGAACTCGTTCCTGGTCTTCCCTGATCTCAATTTTATCGTTATTCTGTTGTACGCGACGGAGATCGTAGATCTCGTCGTTTACCTTGCTATGACTTCGATAAGGCTCCATTCTTAATCATTTTATTCCACATCCTTGCTCGAACTTCCGAACGACGAGCGTCACTTCAGTTATCTATGCACTTTCAAACTCGCAATTTTAAAGTTGAACGGAATAAAATGAATTGTGACGCGTGGTTTCTCGGACCGAATGCACGATTATTGCCCAAGATTACGTAGCATTGCACTGTCGCCCCTTCAATTATCCATCTTTCGATCACTGTTTTCGACGACCGAGGTTTTACCCTGTCCTCGTTCGCACACCAGAGAAATTTCGTAGTCATACGAGCACTATGACAGGACAGGATAGAACAGGACACGTTCTTCCAGTTTACCTAGCACCAATCTCGGGTGGCATTTCGACTAATCTCCCTCTCAACCTTCCGAAAGCAAGTACCTCCAAATGTATGACAGGTGGCACGTGTCTGTGGTCCAGAAGGACCTCCCAGCTTCCCCACCATCAGTTCGCGAGGGAAGGTCATCCTATGAAGCTGGAAGAGCATCTCGCTGCAAAGACCCCCACTCATATCTGTTTCTTGATCGGAGTAGGGGTCAAAAGCTTATTCACACTGCTTTAACGTTACTTTACTATCATACGCGGGATAAATCGATAACAGGCTTACTCCTGCGCTTAAAATACTTAGACCTTTTCCTAATGAATCGGAACACTTTGGTGATCGCGCTAAAGACCTGAACAATGTCATACGATTAAAACAATACATCAATTTATTTAAGCTATATATGACATCAGTTACTTCTTCAACATTCTTATCTCCTGCTGATATCAATAAAAACAAGAAATTATAATGCATTAGCGTGAGAAATTCATTTTTCAAAATTGAAGTTTAAATAATTCCGTCACGTGTGAGGTGGCAGTCAATGTGTTGATAGTGTAACTATGGATACACTTTATTGATAACATAAATACGGCAAATCTTGTTAATAATATAATTAAGATACATTTGTTAACAAAAACTGCGACGAATCAAATGCCGGGAAGATCGAATTCTGACAGAAAGCATTATCGAAATGCTTTTACCACATCAAAGGTACTCGTGTGATATCTGAAAATGTAGTAAGGAGAAGAGATATTCAAAATATAACATAATAACTGAAAGAAATAAAAACCAACACATTATTCTCAACTTATTCGAATGATTAACGGAAGCGAGGAATTTCTAAGTACGAATTTGTATGCAAAATAAAAATGGTCTAGGTTGATTGTAAGAAATACAAGTCAGTTATAAATGTGTTTCCTCTTTTAATAATAGTGATCAGTTGAAAATAATGTAACAATATTCTCAAGTTCTATTAATGCGTTAACAGTTTTGTATTTTTTTCATAAATGCACGAAATTCATAGTCCATTTATTAATAACTGTGCATCTGATGTTGATCGCGATATGATTTCACTCTTCACGACGTTATTGTAATGCGGTTCGACTTCATCGAATTATGGCTGTCATTGCTACGCGGATTATGGATATTTCGTAGAGTGCGGTAGCTTGGTATCATGATGTGCGCAGTAGCGAACTTCATCGGCCGAAAAAGAGTTCATCAGGGATCAGTAAGGAGAGCTCTGATTGGTGCCTAAAGGCGCATGCTCTTCCAAAACGTCCGCCTTCCTCGACCCCTCTATTTCAGGGCTTTATGTCAGCAAACTAATGGTTCCTTCTCTATCCCATATACACTCCCGCAATGGATAAACGCTTCTGCCATACGAACATCGCCGTGAAAAAGTACCGCAAAATACTTCTTCACGCGTTTACTAAACTCCGTTCAGTGGTTCTCATAATCGCGGCTGGTTATTTTTCAGAAATTCCGTATACCTGGGACAATTTTATCGAAACTCAACGCGAGAACAAGCAGCTGAAAAGCCTACAATATATCTGCGATAATTACACACTGTATTTCATATTTAGACAATTTTTTATCAGCCGATTCTCTTAAGAATTCAGCTATAGTTGCCTTGCAATTACCGTCGTTAAAGCGTAATCATGTCTTTTGTAAGAATTGGACACAGTTTCAATTAAAGAGATTTCATTCGTTTTGCAAGATGAATTTCAACACGAGATTAGTAATAATTATCATATTGTTATGCGTTTGAGGTTAATAATTTCGTTACGGTTTTTCTTCAGATTGATACTGGTGAGACGGAAAATTGTGCAAAAACGTGAAATTCCCACAAAGCTTCAAAGTATATCTCAGCGATACATTTTATCAGACCGTATCGAGCTATTTCTGTTTACGAGCTTGAAACGTCGAGCATTTCCGTCGGTAGTGGTACCATTAGTTTTCAGATAGCCTGAGCCAATCTCAATGCTCGTCCTTACACACCAAAAATCCATTTGGTTTCGCGCCGCTAAAAGGATCATTGGCAATTATGGGAGCTTTCAATCGTGGATGAATGCCATCAATTATTTTTCCACATATTGCGTATATACTTTCTGTAATTTATAAATTTTTAGATGTCTTGTTCGATATTTTTTAGCAACACTCACTTGCAATGATAAAACAAATTTAATGATAAACAATTTTTATTATGCATTCATTATTTTATATTGTACATTCATTATAATATTATACATTATATATTATACATTCCAAATGCGAACAAGTTACTCATAATTAATTACGGTCAAGTATTTCTAAAATATTTGTGATTA